TGAGAGGGAGAGAGAATGCTAAGTCCTTGAGAGGGAGAGAGAATGCTAAGTCCTTGAGAGGGAGAGAGAATGCTAAGTCCATGAGAGTTCATCCTAAATACCTAGACCAGCCGCACCGTTTGTCCCCTCTGCCTGCTGACTGGCCCACTGATCAGCCTATCAGATCCATATTCTGAGATGTTCTTCCAAGCTGTAGAGGTGTTGGGTGAGATCCCAGGAAACTGAGAGCTATGCTTAGGATTCCTTCTGAATAACATCTTTGGAATAGCTGTTGCTTTCTCTTGATTTTGATACTGGGTTTCTCTGTATAACTGCCCTGGCTGTCCTGGAACTCACTTTGTAGCCCAGGCTGGCCTGGAACTCACAGAGATCTGCCTACCTCTGCCTCCTAAGTGCTGGAATTGAAGGTGTACTGGAAGAACGTTTAACTACTGCCCTTTGGCTGTTTTGAGCACCAGGCTTCTACTTTGGCAGTCTTAAGGACATTTATGTCTGGGTTATGCAGTCAGCACAAGAACAAGTCAGTCACTGCTGTCTGGGGTCTGAAATCCAAACGTGATGATAACTTGTGTCCCTTTTCTCACTAATGACCGATCTACCTTTTATTTTTCCTTTCCTTTCCTTTCTTCAGAAGAATTTTTATTGAAACAATATCTAATGATTTTTCTAAGCTTTTAAATTTTTATTTTTATTCCAAAGAGATGGTTTTATTCCCATAGTAGACAGGTGAATAATCTATTCAAGGAAGGTAACTTAGTCCAACTTAATGAGGCCTATGTCCTTTTCACCCATAACTAACTTTATTTTGACAAATACATATGCTCTATGTCAGTTACTTTAGAATTGTGTGACCAAAATACCTGATAGTGAAGAAGAAAGTTTCTCTTTGGATGATGGTTTCAGGAGGTCAGTCCATGATCCCAGGCTCTAAAGTAGAATATCATGGCAGCAGAAACATTGGGTAGAGGACAGCAGTTTACAGCACAGAAGACAGGAAACAGAGCCAACTAGAAAGTGGCTAGAGATGTACCCTCAACATCTTGCCCTACTGACTTATTTCTCCATCTAGGCCCCCACTCCCAAAGTTTCCAGGACCTCCCAAAATAGCACCACCAGCTATGGACCAAACATTTGGAACATGAGCCTCTGAAGGACATCAAATTCAAACCATTATTTAAGCAGCTTTTTCAGTGAAAGGCAATTGATCAAAATATGAATTAGGGATTATAATATTTCATATAAAATGAATTACTTGGCAGATTTGTAAATGAGATGGTTGGATGAGAAAAGATAAATATGTATATTTTCTGGCCCCCACAACACCTACACTAGGGCCTTAGGCATTGCTAAAATTCATGAAAGTTAATAGGATGAATACATAAATGAGTGGATTTAACAAGAGAAAAAAGAGTGTAGGAAGATGCTGAGGGAGCTTGATAAATGTAGGAATAGACTTATAAAGGCCCTGAAATCAATAACAGGAATTTGTGATATGCATAACTAAAATAAAAGGAAAAAAGGAATCAACATGAGTTATTAAAAGATGGACATATTTTATGGTGACATCCTTGACTGATGGGAAGGAAATTGTCATTATTCCAATATTAAAAATTTAATCAGAGTTTTAGTTTCAGAACTAGAAGAAAATGTTAAGAGTTAGGACTAGTATTTGAGAAAATCCAGGCTGGAGAGATGGCTCAGAGGTTAAGAGAAAGACCGACAAGGACTCTTAGATTCTGCATCCTTCAAGAGACAGGTGTAATTAGTGTACACTTCTAGAACAAGAGTAAAGATTGCTAATGAAAAATAGGAAATGGGCTAAGCATGGTGCCTCATGCCTATCCCAGCCCTTGGGAAGCAGGAGCAAGTGGATCCCTTAATGTGAGGCCAGCCTGATATACATACTGAGTTCTAGGACAGCCAGGGCTACACACACACACACACACACACACACACACACACACACACACACACACACAAACTGGAGTTTACAGACAGTTGTGAGCCACCATGTGGGTGCTGGGAATTGAAACTGGGTCCTCTAGTAGAGCCGCAGTCCATGCTCCTAAACACTGAGCCATCTCCCCAGACCCTGTATGTGTTTTAGATATAATAAAAGTTTTAGACAGAACTACAGAGTTAACAATAACAAAACTAATAACCAACCTAAATCTGATTGCTTTGTTTCAAAAGGACATGTCAGTGTATTTGAAAGGTAAAAGTGACAACATTTGAATGAATGGTTCTTGTTTTGCCACAGGATTTTTTTTTTTTTTTTGCTCATACATTAAGGTTCTATTTTGAAGGTTAATTTTGGTGTACAGAAAAGTTACAAAAATTGTGTGGACAGTTTCAATCCCTGTTACCAGCCCTTTCCAGTATTGAGCAAGTCTAGTGCTCAGTCTAGGAAATTAGTACCACTGAGAGAGACCCTGTTAGAACATCATCCACTTGGTGTATGTAATTATTGATTTTATTCAGTGTGGGCTCACCAATACTTATTTTTCTCTGGATTATGGTATTCTCTACTTTGTAGCTTAAAGGATCTCCTCTTTGGCCTTTTTGAAATAGCTTTCTGCCATTTCTGCCCTTTCAACTATTTCCATTTCTTTTTAGGCAGTTTTTAATGGCACCACAGGATACTCCAGGTCTATTTTTTTTCTGCCATAGTGCTGAAATCAACACTTGTACATAGAATCCTGGTTCCTTTTACAAGAGAATGATCTTTAGAAACCAACCCTATTGTGCACACTGCCTGGAGGTGGGGGCTGTTTCTCTCCCTTCTTAGCACATAGAAGGCAATCCATCTATGTCTACTAGCCCGTGCTTGCTCATACCTTCTGTTTATGTCTACATAATTTAATACCTCTAATTCCAGTACAACAGTATAGGGACGAGCATCATGTTAGGCCTCCCCCCCCTTATTTGTAATTGACATCTGGACTGTCTAAATTTGTATGAATCATTGTGAATCCAGGATAGTTTCAGTGTAGCCCAGGTGCCTCTCCCCACATCATACCTCTTTCCCAGACAGTAAGAAAGCTGTCCCGTTATGTACATTCTGTTGACTCGTAGTTAAGGCCTGCTTTGCTGTAATGTAGTTTGAGAATTGCTAATCCAAGAGCTGGGTATGATGAGGCACACATACGTTCTCAACACAGGGAAGGTGGGGGTAAGAGAATCAGGAGTTAAGGCCATATTCTGATGTGTAGTGTGTTGGAGGCCAGCCTGGATGGACTGTGTAAACTCTTACTCCCAAACAACTATGGGAGCATATCTAACTACAATACAATATTCGTGTATTGTTTACTTTAGTCTTACAGTTTTCAGTCAAAATATTATTTCCCAACATTGTTCAAGTTCTTCTCTTCCACTTCAATGTGACTGCATTATTTATTATGATATGGGTCTTGAACCTCTAACTTGGTATTCCTGCAGTGTATTCTGAAACACAGTAAAATCTACCTTCCTCATACCTTTACACAGACATCACTGGAAATAGTCTTTTGTTCAATTCCAGTGCAGGTCTAGTTCTAAAGGAGCCCAAAGCTGCCTTCACCAGCCACACGATGAACAAGAGGAAAATGTCATTTGACTCACATCAGGGCAAGAAAACAGCCTGTGTACTCGGAATGTTCCACAGCACACACCTGATGGAGATACTCATATAGAATATTATCGGGGGCTGGAGAGACGGCTCAGTGATTAAGAACACTGGCTGCTCTTCCAGAGGACCCGGGTTCAATTCCCAGCACCCACGTGGCAGCTCACAACTGTCTGTAACTCCAGTTCCAGAGGATCTGACACCTTCACACCAAATGCACATAAAGTAAATTTAAATACATTTAAGAATATTATCAAGAAGACTTTATGGAATCTCTTTCTGAGAGTTGTTCCGGTATAGGTCTCTATCAGTTTTGTTTTGTTTTTTTTTTTTTTTTTTTTTTTTTTTTTTTTTTTTGTGTGTGTGTGTGTGTGTGTGCTTTGATTCTGGGTTTTAGCTGTACCTCTAAATTCTTAACATTTCATTTAAACCATTTAGTTAGTTGGTTAGTTAGTCTTGTGTTTTTTTTTGAAACAGATTTCCATAGCATGGCCCAGACTGGCCAGCAGCTTGCTGTGTAACCTAGGCTGGGCTCAGACTCAAAGCTCTCCACTTGCCTCGGCCACCCTACTGCTGGTGGGCCGTATAATTCATAGACTTCGGAGAGACCTGGCCTCTCTTATCAGTGCACGCGTTCAGGTCGGCACTTATTCGCATCATTCCTCCCATTCCTCAGCTTTCCTCTTCACTCTGTCAGGACTTGTTTTTGGATAGTAACTTTCCAGTAGAGCCGATCCTATTTTCTCTTTGATCTGGCAGTGAAATCTCTTAGGGAGATTCAGCAATTCATGTGTCATAGCTAATTAGCA